TTTAGAACTTCATGCATTTTTACCTATGAATACTGCAGGATGTATCACTAACTGATAAGGATATGCTATATCCCAATTAGTAGTAATTCCTAGGTTAATTAATAGGAATCACCTAATATCACCTAATTCCAAATTCATGTTCAAATTTCTCTTATTTTCTCAAAGATACTTCTTTTTTTGCTTTTGTTTTTGTTACAGGGTGCATGTGCTTGCCAGAGAGAGACAGAGAGAGAGTGAGAGACTAAATGAAAAATCTCCCCACAAAGGGGATGGCCACGCCACAATACCTTCTCCTCCATTCTCCTCTCAGGATTTTTGACACACATGCACATGCACCCAGTGTGATTTTCAAGCCACTGGGTCCAGGACTCAAACAGCAGAGCTGGCCATGTGGGATCCAGCGCCTTAAACTCCACACCACCTGCTGGCCTCTCAGAGGTATTTCTTTAATAGTGATTTGTCTAAATGAGGATTCAAATAATCTCTACATATTTAATTTGCATTTTATATCTAAGTATCTTTTAGTCAATGATTCCCTCCTCATACCCCTTTTTAATTTTCTCGTTATGTGCTGTCACACAGTTCTATTTTTGTTCATTTGTTTGAACAATGAGTAATTTTTTTCCCTTGAACACTTTCCCACATTCCAGATTTGGCCAATTATTTCCTTATGCCATCATTTATTTTGCTCCTCCACCCCATGCATGTCTTAAAACCTGGGAATGAGAGATATCTTCATTTTATTTTATTTTGCTTTATTCTGTTTAACATAAAAGGAAAGTAAGAGTCTATGAGAATGCCGTCACCTAACGGCAAGTGGGATTAATCAGAGAGAAACATTTTGCGATGCAAACTTTCTTCATCTCTTCTATGTAATACAAGTTGTTTCTATGCTTTGATGGCTTATTTTTCTGCTAAGGAACAAAAGCCTTTTCTGATATCAGGGCTTTTCGTTTTATTTATTTATTTATTTATTTTTTGAGTTTTTTTTTGCTATAGGCGGATGCTCACCAGAGAGACAGACAGAAAGCGAGAAATCACCCCCTGGGGGGATGGCCATACCGCAATCCCTTCTCCTCCATTCTCCTCTTGGGATCTTGGGCATACACGCACAGGTGCCTGGAGTGAGTTTTAAGCCACCAGGTCCAGAACTTGAACCGTGGTTGGCTACATGGGAGTCCAGCAACATAGCCATTATGCTAACTGCTGGTCCCAGGGCTTTTCTTTTTCAGCATTCGTCCTCTTTCTAAAGAGTTGGTAGGCTGTAATTATATATTATATTAGAGGTTTTGCTATAGGGCGTGTGCACTCATGAGAAAGACAGTGAGAGACAGAGAGACAGGAGGTGAGAAATCACCCCCCGGGGGGGATGGTCATGCCACAATCCCTTTTCTTCCCGTCTCCTCTCAGGATCTTGGGCACACACGCACACGTGCCCAGCATGAGTTTAAGCCACCGGGTCCGGGACTCGAACCATAGTCAACTACATGAGAATCCAGCAACATAGCCATTATGCCAACTGCTGGTCCCATAATAAAATATATTTCAAATCCTGCACTGAGGTGATGTGTACGGAAGAGTCTGGCATAATAGTCAACACATGTCAGGCTCTTAAATATTACTTGAAGTTGAAGCAAAATAAATCTTTTTCACCACATAAAATAACTGTATGTGAGATTACTAAAACAAATAATTATTTTCTGGATTGAGGTAAACAAATTACTGAGTGCCCACAACAATATAAATGAAAATATTTTTTGTATTGGGAATGGGATACGAACATCCCTTTCTGGTGCTGGCAGGTGGCATAGTGCTTAAGGCTCTGGACTCCCAAATGGCCAACTGTGGTTTGAGTTCCAGATCTGGCAACTTGAAACACACTGGATGCATGTGTGTGCATGCCCGAAATCCCAAGAGGAGAATAGACAAGAAGGAATTGCAGCATACTCATCCTCCTTAGGGGGATGATTTCTCTCTCTGGTGAGCACACATGCCCTATGACAAAAACCTTTAAAAAGAAAAGAAAGAAAAAGAATATCCCTTCCTATTCATTGGAACAGTTTCAACAATGGGAGAATTTCATGGTTATCTGGTACTCCAAAACTTGTAATCTAAAACAAACAACAACAAAGTACTCATTCAAAAAGATGAAAACTCAGGACACAATTTAGGAGGATAAAGTCAATGTCATAGCTGGTTTACATATTATGGCTTCAGGAAAAATGAGTATTTTGTGTAATTCTGAACAGTTTGTCTCTACCCCCATTGACTGGTTTATTTCCCAATACCTGCAAGGTGAGGGTTAGTTCAGTTCCGGCAAGGCGGAAACAGAGAGTTGAAAATAGAGCAAAGTGCAGAGCCCAAAGTGATAGAACCACGCAGCCACTGTTCAGGATGGCAGTGACAAGCAGCAAACGTTGGATAAAAAGAAAAATATCTAATAGCACTAAAACATTAAGCCCGAATATAGGAAATAATTACAACTCCATTTGTGATCTTCAGATACACACTGCTTGACCCAGCTGTGTTGGTGTAGTAGGGTCCCACTGTATGAAGCTGGAGCCATATGGAAGGGCAGGGTACAGATCCCAGGTGAACTTGAACATGCTGGGCACACCCACAAATGTACCTGTGATCCTGACTGTCTGGGAAGGCTGGGGGCAGAGGAATCATGGAGCAGCAAGATCCATCAAGGATCCATCGATATCCACCTATCTGGGTCTAGCAGTTAGCATAAAGGCTATGTCGCTGGACTCCCACGTAGTCGACCGTGGTTCGAGTCCCGGACCTGGTGGCTTAAACTCACGCTGGGTGCATGTGCATGCGTACTCAAGATCCCAAGAGGAGAATGGAGGAGAAGAGATTGCAGCGTGACCATCCCCCGGGGGGTGATTTCTCACTTTCTCTCTCTCTCTCTCTGTGTGTGTCTGGCGAGTGCACGCGCCCTATAGCAAAAACCTCTTCAAAAAAAAAAATCCACCTGTCTGCCTCTCTTTCATAAATTAAATAAGCATTATATATTTATTAGTTTGTTGGGAATGTCATGATGTATTTTCCTATGCAAAAATGCATCATAACGTTCCTGACAACTCTCTCTCTCTCTGAATATATATATATATATATAAAATTTCAAAAAGTTCATGGAAAACAAAATAGGTTAATTTTGGTGCAAAAATCTTTGAAATCAATGCATAGTATTTCCATAATATGCATTTTTCATAAACTTTTTAAAGACTTCTCATTTATACTCCGTTTGAAATTAGGCAAAGGCCGCTGCAACTATGTAGGGAGGAAGTCAGTTTCTGCGGTCAAAGGCCAATTCACAGTCCTCTACCTCTTTTCTTCATCAAGGCAATAATCAACAGACACAAGAGAAGATCACTGTACTCCCCTATGTTCCCAAAAGCAGTGCATAATTTCTCCTTAGAAAGGTGGCATAAGTTTCTACCCCTCCTGCACCAGGATGAGAACTACTTGTACCACTGGAGACAGAAAGCTAGGGCTCAGATGAGTCTGCATAGACAGACATTAGTAAAATAACTGCTAATTTCTATGAGGTTCCCCAATATTTTCTAAGAGCCCCAACCCCTATTCCTTTGTCTAGTCACTTCTCTACAACTTGTCCCTTTTTAAAAACAAAATGGCATGGGGACCAGTACATGGCATAATAATTACATTGCTGGACTCCCATGTAGTTGACCATGGTTCAAGTCCCAGACCTGGTGGTTTCAAACTCATGCCGGGCAGGACTAGCAGGTAAGTGAAAATGAAAACGCCAGAAAATATTCAATCCTGCTACCTTCCTCTACAGTGGGAAACAAACCCTTGAATAATTGGCACGCACTGTTAGAGTTATAAAACAAACTCAGACCTAAACTGTTCATTGAGGGGCCAGGGGTTAATGGAAGGCTCATGAATTCCAGACTGGAGGTGAGCCCACAGCCACTTTCCAGTGATGCCCAAAGGTCTGAATACAGCCCTTCCCCTAGATGGCAGGTACCTGGTTAAATGCTCTGTAAGGGCAAGGCAGGAAGTTTCATGGGTTGCACTTGTCCTTCAGGGACCCTGGGTGTGTCCCGATTTGTGCCTGTAATGGGCTTCACCTCATCACCAAAGTGGCTAAAGGAGGGCCATGTGCACCAGAGCTGGAAAGGTTTCCATTTAGAAAATCAACGGAGGTCTTAGTGGGTTGCTCAATACTATTCCCAGGACACAAGTGATGAATTAACCACAGCTAAACATCATTTCTTGTCAAACAGTTTATTTACTGAATTTTAATAACATTTTCCCTGGGGCACCAGCAGTTAGTGTAATGGCTATGTTGCTGGACTTCTATGTACTCGACCACGGTTCGAGTCCCGGACCTGGTGGCTTAAACTCACACCGGGCGCGTATGTGTGCATGCCCAAGATCCCGAAAGGAGAATGGAAGAGAAGGGATTGGGGCGTGGCCATCCCCTCTGGGGGATGATTTCTCACTTTCTGTCTCTCTGTCTCTGTCTTTCTGGTGAGTGCATGTGCCTTATAGCAAAAACCTCTCCAATATATATATATATATATTTTTTACCCCTGATCTCACTTATGCTTGATGATAACTTTATGAAAAAAAAAATGCCATGCTTTTGTGGTGTTTACATCCTAGCATCAAGAAGAGACACAGATAAACAATAAAAATAACAAATTGCATAGATTACAGGAGATGGAAAATGCTATGGAAAAAATAAAACTAGAACAGGCAGCAAAATGGTAACTTGAAATTGAAGGCCAATTGTAACTTTCAGTCATGCTCATTAACATGCTGGTCCTGCTGGCTCTTAAGTCAAATGCTATGCCTTTGATGGTTAGTTCAGGGCCATACCAGGCCTCTGCCACCACAGAATCCACTCCTGGCAATGAAGAACAAAACACTTAAAATTAATCTCTGAGTCATTTCTAAGTACCTCATCAGTTTTAGCATGCTTTTCATGGATAAGGCACTTCCCTAAAGTGAGTTCTAGGGCCCAAGTACACTAACCAGTATCTTAATTGGATTTATCTAAGAGTTGTATCTAATATATTGCTTATGCTGACTAAACTAAGGTTTTCAGTTCAACTAGGTTGTTTACTGCTCACAGGAGAAAACATAAACAGAGAATATATATTTTTTTATAATGAAATTTGTACCGGGGTCATAGAAATTGCTCTCCAAATATAGCACAACTGAATACTCTCCACTATGACCACATTGACGATGTCATGTTTTTGAGGAATGTATCCATTAGGAAGTTCCAGAGAATCCAAGGTGAAAAAGATAACACCATCTATCACCCCATGTCTTCCATGCATGGTGGTGATGCAGACCTGCAACGATGAATGATGGACATGGTTATTACAAGCACGCTGCCCTGCAACAGGCTCTAACCTGCAGGTCACCCCATCCCCATTACTGATTCCCAACCTGGCGGGCACACTGACAACACCAGGGATGCTTAGTAATCCTGTACACAGATTCCACCTCAGACCAATCAAATCAGAACCTCTGGGAATACAGCCCTCATCTCTTAATTTCCTACTCATTTTCAGGTTGCACTACCTAAAGCACACCCAGATTTTACCAGTAAGCTCAAGTTCCACATCACACTCCATGCACTTTTTTCTCAACCATTTTCTTGCACACTGATTGTTTTTCTTCCGGTTGTTTTCAGCACATCATAATAACATTTTACTACCAAATAAATTACACAGCATAGACTTTAATAATATGCATCATCTCCATTATTTTCTAATTATTTCATCTTTTGAAGTCTTGCCTTTAAAATGAGAAAATTAGCTCCTCATTGGCAAATATACATTTTCTTTTCTTTTCTTTTTCTTTTTTTTTTTTTTAGAAGTTTTTACTATAGGGCGCATGTGCTCACCAGAAAGACAGAGAGAAACAGAGAGACAGAAAGTGAGAAATCACCCCCCCCCAGAGGGGATGGCCACACTGCAATCCCTTCTCCTCTTTTCTTCTCTTAGGATCTTGGGCACGCATGCACACGCGCCCAGTGTGAGTTTAAGCCACCGGGTCCAGGACTCAAACCACGGTCGACTACATGGGAGTCCAGTGACATAGCCATTACACTAACTGCTGGTCCCACAAATATACATTTTCTAGATTTACCAGCACATCCAATAGAATTCTAGGCCAAAAATGATCACTAAATGAGAGGCTGGAATACTCTAATGACAAATGCAGTGTAGAAACAAATTACCTCCTCCATACGCCGACAGGTCAAGGGTGTCACCAAGTGTACACTGATGAAAGATGTGCCTGGTGGAATGGAGTAATCAACTTTTACCCAGTCACCCTTGTAGGGCATAAAACCTGAAATAGTCATGAAGAAATTTTAATGCAATTATACCTTACCTTAAGTCATGTAAAGTTTCACAAGTAACACAGATGTTCTAATACTCTAAAATGGCTTTCATTAGAGCTAGCATACATTTTGCTCATGTATGCAGGCATCTTGCAAACATTTATGTTCAAAGAAGTTTCTAATCTTTCAGGCATTGATTTTCTTCTACTGATTTATTGAAGTCAAGTAGGTTGCATCACAATTCCACACAGTCAATCATTTTGGGAGAAGCATAGTATATATTCAACACTTGCTCATGTTCACAGCTCTCTTGGTTAGTAGTCAGGTAGATAGATAAGAAACATAGTTTTAAGCTGGCTACTGGTGTTCAAATCATGCAATTACCACTTTCTCAGTCTGCACCCTTAGTCACAGTGTTAACCTCTCAGTGCCTATTTTCTTCATCTACAAAATGAGAACTACCATAATAGTCCTCAATAACAGAGTTGCTGCCATAGTTAACTGAAATGTTAAAAACTCATGGAATAATACCTGGCACATAGTAACCATGAAGTAAAGGATTTTTTAAGTTTTATTTATTTATTATTGTTATTATTATTTTTTAAATTTTGCTATAGGAAACGTGTGCTCACCAGAGAGAGAGACAGTGAGAAAGAGAATGAGAGAAAGGAAAGTGAGAAAGCAAGTCACTGCATTTGAGACTCGAACTGCAGTCGACCATGTGGGAGTCCACTGCATTAACTACCATGCCAACCGCTGGTCCCTCCACTGGCAGTAGCACTAGGAAATAAAAGGGGACTTTTAAAAGTTAGAGATAAATGGAATTAAAATATGAGTTTATTGGGTCAGCCAGTGGCATGGTAGTTAAGGTGGCTGGATCTGACATGGCCAATCGAGTGGTTCGAGTACTGGACTCGGTTGCTTGAAAAACGCACTGGACACATGTATGTACATGACTAAAATCCCAAGAAGAGAATGGAAGAGACGGTAGTGTAGAGTGGCCATCCCCCCTGTGGGGTGATTTCTCATTTTCTCTCTCTCTCTCTGGTGAGTGCACACACTGTCCTACAGCAAAATCCTTTTTTTTTTTTTTTAAAGAGTTTTTTTTGGTGAAAAAATTTTGAAATCTTACTTAACCTTTTAAAAAGACACATTTTTCAGGGCCAGCAAGTGGTGTGGTGGTTAAGGTGCTGGACTCCTACATGGCCAACTGTAGTTTAAGTCCTGGATCTAGAGGCTTGCTTTCTCACTTTCCCTCTCTCTCTCTGGTCAAATTAAATAATAACAATAATGGTGATGCTGAATAAAATGAAATAAAATAATTCTAATAATAATAAACAAACAGAAAGATATATTTTCAATAAACATTTTGAAGACCCCTTGTATTCTTACTATGAAAATGAGTCAGTTTTCCCAGGTTCTTTGGTCGGATACTGAACTTGTCAATGAGTATCTTATATTTATAGTTATAAACATACAGTTCCAAACAGAATTTCAACAATAAGTAAAAAGTAAGTCACAGGACAACTAATGTACCTGGGAGGATCTGAAGCAAGTGGAAATCTCAAAATTGCAGATAAAAGTGCAAATATGCACAACCACTCCTGAGAAGTGGCAATATCCACAAAACTAAACACTTCTTTAACCTACTAACCAGCATTGCTGAATGACACAGGAAACTACAATAAGTTGGAACTCTTCCCTCTCTCTTTGTTAACCTCTGTACATTTCTTTAGTGTGGCTTTACAGAGTATCTATTGCTGATAAATCCAAAATGTACTTATTTCCAGCTCTGAAAAACCTCAGATTTAATTGTTCATATGCTTATGGAATTGTAATATGTTTAAAACTGAGTTACTGCTATTCTTCTCATTCACCTAATTTTCCTAATCTCAAGTCTACCACATCGCAAATTGGCAACTCCCCCTACTATCACTTAAACCAAAACATTGCAGTTACTTCTGACTCTTTCCTTCCCATCAAAGTCCAAGCTATCAATGCTTTCGCTTCTAACTTTGAAAGATATCCAGAAACAAATCAATCCTTAGAGCCTCCTCTTCTACCCTCCAAGTCTCCATCAGCTCTAGCCAAAACTATTCCAATGTTCTCCCAACTGATTAAGCTTTCTGACATGACCCTTACCTCACACAATCTCTTCTTAACAGAGTGAACACCTTAAAACAAAATGCAGGTCAAATCTTGTTTTACACCCAAGAAAAGGAAAACAGCAAGCTGTCTGGAGGGGCTGGGCTAATTAATCATCTTCTGTCAAGGTACCTGACAGCTGCATTGGGCTCAAATAGCATAAACACAGTACAGATTGGGTCAAAACAAAATCTTAGACTATATCTGCTGATTACCAATGGAATTCAACATTGGACAGACACATACACACACACAAACATACATGGAAAGCTACAGGCTATCTCAAAATTTATTCTTTTTTTTGGGGGGGGAGAAGTTTTTGCTATAGGGCGTGTGCACTCTCCAGAAAGATAGACAGACAGAAAGTGTGAAATCACCCCTCAGGGGGGATGGCCACGCAGCAATCCCTTCTCCTCCATTCTCCTCTCGGGATCTTGGGCACGCACGCACACACCCCTGGCATGATTTTAAGCCATCGGGTCTGGGACTCGAACTGCGGTCAACTACATGGGAGTCCAGTAATATAGCTATTACACCAACTGCTGGTCCCTCAAAATCTTATTTTAACCATTTAAAGTATGTTGAAAATAATATCCTGTACACTCTTTGGGTAATTTTCATTCATTAGAACTTAAAGCTTATGTGAATGAAAAAAAAATCCACTGCATTGACATATAAGTAGTACCAGGAATTTTTATAAATTAGAAATTCTGTTCCTATATTGTAGGTTTTTTTTTTTTCAACTTCATAGGCCCACTTCCCATACTGAAAAGCTCCTGACTGGAGCCAAATGTCTTGTAGAAATAGTTCTCGTACTAAAATCCTCTAAAAAAATATGCACTACATTTTTCTAAACATGTAAATCATACCTTCAGAAACAACATCTAGGGGGAAGAAAGTTTTCTCATCGATGTAGACAGTGTCTGCATTTATATAAGCAACACAAGCAGTTAAAACTTCTGTTTCAAAGTCTGAAGGCCCAGAGTCAGTGTTATTATCAGGGAGAACATCCACCTGTCAGATAAGGGAACAGTTACTTACAACATAACTAAAATTTAAAAATAGACTCATATTTAAACCATTGATGTTTAAGAAATGTTTTTCATTATTATTATTATTATTATTATTATTTATCCATTCAATTGCTATACATCATTTAGATTATAAACAGACTTTATCCAGCATGATAGACATCTCAGTCCAGTTGAGAATACTATACACATCCTCATCAGTAGATAATAAACCATATCTGTGTCCCACAAAT